TATGAAGGCCATCAGGTCTGAAGAAGGAGGAGCGGTGCCAGAATAAATTAAAATTGTCAATAAAACCAAAGTTGAGGAGGGTTGATGCTTGTTTGAGCCAAGTGTGAAGAGCTAGAATTCTGCTAAAACGTTCATCTCCTCGGTTGAGAGTGGGTAGAGGGCCGGAGATAAAAACAGATAATCCAGATTCTGATAAAAAGTTAAAAAGGTCTCTAAAATGCAGTTTTGTGATTTCCGAGTGGCGGGAAGAACTGTCATTTGAACCGATATGGATAATAAGACGGGTTAGTGGGGGCGTTTATAAGAAGGGCAGGTAATTTGTTCAGCAGTGAAGTGACAGTGGCTCCAGGGAAACAGTGAGTGGAAACATTAAAAAACCTGCAGCGTTTAATGATGGAGTCACCCACCAGAAGAGTTGTGGGTGCGAACAATGGTCGGGGGGAGGATGGAGTTATCGTAGTGGGGGGAGATGGGCGCTGAGGGACCTGAGCGGGCAGGGCGAGACCAGGAGCATTTGCGGTGGTGCCGTGAGATAAGAGCGGAGGGTTGGGAGAGAGTGAAGGAGACCGAGATAAGAGCGGAGGGTTGGGAGAGAGTGAAGGAGACCGAGGCGGTTCTGGACGGACTGAGACTGGGGCGCGGGGTGGCGTGGGAGAGCCTCGCACTGAGTCCGGACAAGGAGGTCCTCCAGCAGCAACAGAGGGCACAGCGCTGTCCACGGGGGAACCCCACGCTGGGTCAGAGCGAGGAGGTCCACCCGGGGTAGCCGTAGCATTCTCGCAGGGGTCCCGCGCTGCGTCAGAGCGCAGTGACCCCTCCGGAGCCAGGGCAGCATTCATAGGGGATCCCCGCGCTGCGCTGGAGCGCGGGGATTCCCCAATGGCTACCCCGGCGTTTGCTCCGTCATGCGCCGCGCACCGTACTGAGTCTGCGGGGCCACTCACTTGAGCAGGGCGCTGCGAGTCTCCCAGGACCGAGGCAGCTTTCGCGGGAGGACTCCGCGCTGTCTCTGAACGCGGAGATCCCCCCACTGCAGCCTCAGCCAAACCCCGCGCAGTGTCCGGGCGCAGGGGGCTCCGCGCTGGGTCAGAGCACGGAGGGCCCACGGAGCGCCTGCGGACAGCCTCCTCCACCAGTCTGCGGCGGGTGGACAGGGACACTCTGTGGTCTCGCGGCCTCTGCTCCTGGTTGAACTTGCTCTGAGGATGGCCATGCTCCGGGGCAGGACAGCTGGAGACCGGTGGCTCTAGGGCTGTATGAGGCGGCGAAGGATCCGGAACCGGGCAGAGCGCTGGATGCTCCGGGAAGAGCGCGGTGGCCAGACTCGGCCCAGGAGCGAGCGGGTCCTTTCTTCGGACCACAACGCACGAGGTATTGCTGTGGAGTGGGGTTGAGCAGGATGAGGGGTTCGGGCAGATGACAGGGTCCCAGGGAATAGTGTCGTGGTGAGCGGAAAGTGAGAGGTGTTGTGCTTGTTTAAATGCAATGTCCGTGAATAGTTCCAGGAGTGTTTCTTTGTGTTTTAGTTCGATAGAGAGGTTATTGACAGTCAATTGTAGTTCTTCGGGAGACATAGTGCGTACTGGTTTCTTGATTATCGAGCTGGATGAAGTAAGTTGTGACTTGTAGATTTCTTTGTAGATATTAACGGGAGAAGGTGCTGTGTCCATGGTTTACAATGCTATTGATTATTGAGATGGGCCTATAGTTGTTCATGTCACTGATGTCACCTCCTTCGTGAAGGGGGATGACTTTTGCACGTTTCCAGGTAGAGGGAACTTCACAAGAGCTAAATGAAAGGTTGAATAGATCTGCCAGAGGAAAGCACAGAACATGAGAGGCCATTGTACCTTGTCTCTATGCCATCAGGACCGGCACTGCCCAGAGACAGCCCGTTTATTATGCATTCTACTGCAGCTGGACTCACTGGTCTAAAAGAGAAACTGCTGCCACAAGGAACGGCACTGGGTGGAGTGGAGGAGTGAGGAGGAGATTGGACATGAGGCAAATGAGAAAAATGATGATTGAAGGCATTGGCAATGGTAGTGGGATCATTTGTGCATCATTAATCAGAATATTGTTGGAGTCAGAATTCGATTTACCGGATATATTGTTGATGTGTTTCCAGAATTTTTTAGGGTTGTTGAAGTTATTTGTTAAACAATTTTTATGGTAATTGGATCTGGCATTTCTTGTTTGAGTGGTACAAGAGTTGCGCAGCCGTCTGTAGTCCTCCCAGTCATGGACGAGCTTTGAAGTATTTAATTTAGACCAAGCCTTATCCCTTTTCCTGTAAAGACTGAGCAGCTCACCATTTACCCAGGGGAGATGGTTTCCCTTACCCTGATTTCAGTCAGTGGTGCGTGTTTATTGATGACATTTAATAATTCTGTGTGAAAGTAGTCCCAGGCTTCATTTATAGAGGGTATTAAAATAAGTCTGTCCCAATTAATATTTAGTATGTCACTAATGAAGTTATTTATGTTGAGAAATTTTGTTTTACGGATTTTGATAAATTTTGGTGGAAGACGGGGGCGTTTAATTTTCCAGATGCAGTAAATAATGCAGTGATCACTGAAACAGTCAGATAATACACCAGATTCAACAAATCTATCAGGACGAGTCACTAAAATCCAGTCCAGAAGAGTTTGGGATGTGTAATCATATGTATTATTATCGCGTTTCTAAGTTACAGTGTTTACAGTAGTCGCCGTAGCGCACTTGAAAAATATGCAGTTCCTTTATTTTGAAAACCACTCATTTCCGGTAAAGGGGCGGGACACCGGAAACGACATCTTCCGGGTGCCGCTCGTGTTGTTACTGTACATTTGTTTACTACGGAATCAAGCGACAACACGACCTGTGGATCCGCTATCACAGCTTTTAGAAGGTAACATTTCTATTACATGGCTCCATGTTTTCAGTTTGATGGTTTTGGGGGTTAGCCGCTTGTGCTAACTCTAGCTGTCACAGACTAGCTGTTACATAGTTATGTTATAATGGATCCATGGTTATAACATCGATATTAACTCTTCACAAGCTCACCTGTAGAATTAGCTTTTGGGAGCGAATCATAGTGCTGCTATTTTTCTAATGTATTGTGTTGAATATACAGAACAATAACTGGAAACTTTTACTGTATTTTATTGCAATTATTACAATTCATTTTGTGTCAAAGTCCAGTAGGCGCTGACTGGAGTGTGTTTTTATTTAACTTAGCGGGTTCGTGTAGCTAGCTCGTTGCTACTTCTCGATAATAATTAAGTACGCTATCTAAAGATGGCGTACTTAACTTTGCTTAATAAATAATGCTTGTGGTTTGTCCCAGGAACACGAACAGCCTCGTAAAAGCAGAACACATTAAGACCCACACGTTCTGTCAGAGTCTTCATCATAGTTTGATAAGAAAACATTTAATACTTTGCAACTTCTTTGAGTCAAATAGTCTCTTTAGGCTGGTTCACATTCCCGTCTGAACAATCTGATCTGAGGCTGTGATGGAGGCAAAACATCATATGAAAACTATTGTGCTAAACTGAGCTTGTGACCTAACCCTTTGTGACTACTTGTTGGCTTCATATTTTGGCATACAGTGCATGTATATATTTTGTTGTTTTTGTTTTCTTTTTTTATTAAATTGTAGTTTTACTATTACTTTTCCAGGTTCAATGGAGGAGACAGAGGAGCAGTCAGATGACACTCCAACGAGGAGGGACCATGAAACCGAAACATTCAGGTAGCAACTTAGATATGATGCCGTGGAGTTGGAAAAAACAATGCACTCTTCTTCTTTTATTTAAGTTAAAATAATTGCTTGATTGAATTTAATAGAAATCGTCTGACTTAAATTGAAATTGTTTGCAGTTAAATCCATGCATATTTTTTTTTATTCTAGAAACTCACAATGCCCTTTTTGTCATGGAATGTTTTATCTCATACAATTTAATGCAAAGACAGACTTCAAAATATTTTCTAATGGCAGAAGTTGAAGGGTAAAGAGTAACAGCCCACAGTTTCTTACACCAGGTTTTTGAGTTTTTCCTTCAAGATGCATGAGGCTAACGACAGGACATGATTCTCTGATCTGTTCTCAGTAATTCGTCAACTTTGTCACGGCCTCAGAGAGAACTGCTGTTGTGTTTTGGGGCCATATGAAAATACATTTATCTGAATTTATCCGGGTCATTTCTGAACATTTATGGATATTGGTGTTTGTTAACCTGTGATCCTATGTAAACAATAACTCTTAGGTGTTTTTATTGTGTGTTTCTTCTAATTGTTTTTTTTCTGATCTGCTATTGGTGAATCAACAAATATGTCCCTAACAGACACTACAGTTGTGAATTTGGGCTTTACAAAAACACATTGATTTGATTCTGCGAAGAACAATAATTAGATTTTTTCATCTAAAGTAATTATGTTTTCGTCTTGTTATTAAATACAATCTGATAATAAAAACAGTAAAAGGTCAGGGCATTATTCCTCAATACAGCCTTATTTCAGCCAAATATTGACCCTCTATACAGTTAATCATATGCATTTTTGATTCTGCTTTGTTACATAATGTTCCAGGCATAGTTGGGGGAATTATGATTGTGATTGCTCAAATGAATTGGATTGACCCTGAGACTATAACCTTGTCTCTGGTCGCAGGATTAGATTTCACAAACAAAAAACTGTAATGCGGATTGAGGTAATATTGTGGCACTAGTTACAAACGTAGGAAAACGCTTTCTCTCAATTTTATTCCAGCATTGAGACACTTTACAATACAATAGGATTATGGGATTGTTGAAGGCACAAAGAAAAACTTGTAGACAAATGAACCAATTCGCTAATCACACCATTGGCTAATTTCAAATCCTACAGACTGTAGAATTGCAGTTCGATCATTTCCACTGCAGCCATCAGCCTCTTTTGCTTCGTGCAGGTACTATTTCCAAGTTTTTTATTCTTAAATTTGCTGTTATTTTTGCCATACTTGAAAGAAGACGGTAGTTATGGATGAGATTAATCGCATTTTCGGAGCTAAGGCCCGTGTGCGGTCGGAGAGCATGGCCAGCGATGCCACTCAGTCCACAGGAAGCCGCATGGTGTTGAGGCACAGGCTGCAGCAGCTCCTGACCTGCGTGGAAGACCTCAACCCCAAAGACGAGCTCAAAGTGGCCCAGACTCTGGACAATGTCTTTTTGGTTTGTGGCAAAAGAAGGAACAGAAAGGACTGCTTCAGGTACAGAGCTGGTGTTGTAGCATTAGTGAAATTTGTGGGTTTTTTACTTGGAAGTTACTCTGCAAGAATGTATTGCAGTGTGTTGTAGTTTGCTAAAATTTAAATTCCATCTACTTTTATTTGAATCAGGGCAAAACTATTTTTCCAAACATTCATATTTATAATAATCTTATTGGAGCTTTTAATGGACAAGTCTGCAGCAATCGGTAAAAGCTTCAACAATTGTTGATTGGATTTGACGTTCGGATGGATGAGAAGCATTACTTATTCACTATTTTTCCATTGTATATTATGAATGTGCTGTGTGTATAAATTAGTTCTACTATTTACATATAATTTACCAGTGCTGTTGTTTTGAATACTCTTCTCTGCTCCGTATTCTTTGTCCTATTTTTTGTGTCATTTTTTTTCCCCCAAACCTATTTATAACCTATTTCTTTTGAATTTAAAGTGGCTTGTTTTGCATTATTTGCTGCTTGTGATCAAATTCTGAGGTCTCATTTATTGTGTTGCAAATGATGACAATTTTGAAATCACAAAAAGACTTAAATCAACTGATTCATCGTAATAGTAATAGCCGTTGTGATAAAAGTAAGTTTGTTTAGGAAGGTAAATCTTGTCTTCTTGACACGCACATTTGTGTTAAGCTTTCCTCATTTTTAAGGTAATAGCATCTCTAACATTGATGTTATTTAGTTTTTTTTTTATGTTTTTTTTTTGAGGAGAATGCTTTGAAGGATACACTTTTTACAGTTTTGGAGAGATGAAAAGCTACAAAATGTAATAAAACACACATACATATACAGAGGGCATAGTATACATTGTGTTTTGCTATTTTAAATCAGGCCTTTTTATGTAGTCTATTACTCAATCAATCCAATAATGGGCCAAATGTTCTCAAAATGGACTCGCTTACAACAGAAAACATCAGTAATTTGAATGCCTTTTTCCCCTAGAAAACAATTTCATGGCCATTAAATCATTTAAATACATACCACTGGGCTTTTGGGATAGAAACAGTACATTGTTTTAAAACAGAACCAATCAATGATAAGGAATAAGTCTATTTTCATAATAATTTTTAAAAGTGCTTGGCAAAAATCAGCAAACTTTAATCAACCCAGATTGCACATTCCGTCTTTCCTGTGATGTTTTTACCATGGATCGAGTGGAGACGCTGTGATGTCATTAGTGATTAGGTTTTGTGAGTTGATACAGTGGTTGACTAAGGCGGCTGGTGCTGTGTGTCAGTCTGCAGGAGGTGTATTCTGGCTGAGCTCAGATTCATGTCCGACTCTGTGTTTGACGACCTGGAGCCGGTTTTCATGTCCACTCTGGCCCCTCGAACTAAGTCAAGGTAAATGTTTGATCACGGATTTTTGAAAATGATTTTTATAAGTGCCTGCTTCATCCAATCTTTTCCATTTTAAAAGAAAAAACTTCTTGTATCAAATGTGGTATTTTTATGCCAGTTGGGATTTGTTGTAGTGTTTTAAAATAAACATCTTTATTGATTTTGATTGAACCTGAACAATAACTAAAGTCAATATTTTTGCCCTAAAGCGTGATCTTGAGAAGTATTTTGAATTTTTCAAGTTTTTTTTCGGGTGTGGAAGAGTGAAATGAACCCGAAATGTAGGAATGGTAAAATGAGTAAATTAATAACATCAAAAAGAAGAGCAAAATCCAGAGAAAAATACAAAACTGATCCAAACGGGACAAAGACAAAATGACTATAAATCAAACAAGGCATTGATAATGATGGAACAGACAGTGAAGACACAGGTGAAACACGGGGGGCGGAGCAGGGAAATCAAACAGGATAGTGGAAACTAAGACGAGACTAGGGGTTTTCGTTACAAAACATTAAAGGAATTGACCTAAACCATGGCTAGTTTTGACTACGTGTGATAAAGTTTATAACAAATCCATCTTGTCTCACTCTAAAGATGTATTTTGGCCCATTGTTCACATTTAAGATCTAATTATTTCAGGACAGAAATGTGAAAATGAGAAGACCACCCTCACTCCATTAAACATTTATTTTTTCCTAATAGAAAAGAATATCTGTTTTCTATTAAGATGAAGACAGTATGTTGTGGTCTAAGTTGTTCACAATATTTTATACAAGATTATTTCTGTTGAGACAGACTACTTATTTATAAAGCCAAAAAGTTACAAACCCAGATTTAATGTAACACAAGTATGACACAAAATGATCCAGTTCAGTTTAGTTATAGTTAGTCACTTGAGAACCCACTGTGAGAATATACACATTTGACATGTTTCAATTTTTTTATTCTGTTTTTGTCCCTACATTAAAACAAATATAAATCCTGCTTTGGAACACTGCTAAAAATGCCTCTTTATTCGGTGTTTGGTTTTCTTGTTTTACAGATCACTTCTATTCGAATGCAGGGGCTTTTGTTGCTGTTTTTCTCTAAACTGGAGCACGTCCCGTTCATCAGAGACATCCGCACCACGTACACACGAACCGGCCTCTTTGGTTACTGGGTATGAAAAAGAACTGCACCTGTGATACACATTTGGTACAATTTATAGAACCGGTATAAAAGGTATTTTCATCCAGGTCAAAGTGGGTAATATGTAAAACAATCCAGGCACAAGAACCTCTCAGGAGCCAGTGCCAACACATTTATACTCTAGAGGTTCCGAAATCCACTTAAAGATTGTGGCGGATGTTTTTATTTTGTTTACTTCACAAACACAACCTGTCTTTGTCCCCACATACAAGGGAAACATGTTGAGTGGCCGAAATTTTACTATTATTATTCTTATTATTATCCCATCTATTCTGACTACACACAAACACACACGCTCAGAGGTGCTCAATGCCACCATGTGAACGTGTATACTAACCTACTCATAGTTCATTGTGTCCCTTTTATGAATGAAATGAAGTTATATAACAGCAAGTAATACAACAACAAACAGGTGAAGCTGGAACAATCCTGATTTAAATGTTTTGTTGTTTTTTTTTTACAGGGGAACAAAGGCGCCGTGTCCGTTCGCCTCTCGTTCTACGGCCACATGTTGTGTTTCCTCAACTGTCATTTGTCGGCTCACATGAAATACGCCTCCACCAGAGTCAACGAGTTCGAATGCATCCTGGACTCGCAGACTTTTGAATGTCAGAAAGCCCCCAGTGTCCTTGACCACCGGTGAATACACACACTGCACTGTGACACACACTGGAGATTTTTACAGTTTATAAACGGTACTACTGCTTCCTCTTTTGTTGTAGGTTAGTGTTTTGGTTTGGAGACCTCAACTTCCGCATTCAGGACCACGGCATGCACTTTGTCCGCTCCTGCATCGATTCACAAAAATACAATTTACTCTGGAGCAATGATCAGGTGCGGACAGTCGCTTTTATTGTTGTTTTCACTGATGACTGCTGTCGTTGTGTCCTTGGCAAGACACTTAACCTCTGGGAACACCTGATGCCACAGTGGGGCGGCTTTGGCTGTAAAGTGCCAAACTGCCGTTGTGTCCTTAGGCAAGACACTTCTCCCCCATTGCCTAGAATGAGTCTGGTGTGTGTGAGAATGGTTGGTGGTGGTCGGAGGGGCCGATGGCACATACTGGTTGCCTCGCTTCTGTCAGTGTGCCCCAGGGCAGCTGTGGCTACAGTAGTAGTTTATCACCACTGTGTATGGAGTGAATGAATAATGACACATGTGAAGTGTCTTTGAGTGTCCAAAAAAGCGCTATATAAAACCAATGCATTATCATTATTATTATTATTTGTCTTTTATTTGTAGTTTCTTTCCTACACAAGGCAACACAAAGCGCGTCACAACCCATATCACATCAAGCTTAAATCATAAACATTAAGATCTACATAAACATAAAAAATATGATTTAAAACAAGCATTAAGATCACAAAAAATGTCAAAAGCATAAAACATTAATGATTACAATCACAAATAGCCACAGTGCGTTAAAAAGAGTAAAGATAAAATCCTTCAGTTGAATGCACAGTATATCTGGCCAAATTACTTCCTACTTACAAAAGTATGTTGAATGAATGTTTTTATTTGGACTTTTGAAACGAGAAAACAAAACAAAAGCAATGTAATTGTACATTGATTAGGCAAAATAAATAAACAATTGATGTCCAAAATATGAGTGGGAAGAAGTTTACATTTCTTGTCCCACTGAGTTTAAGAAACACTGTCATTAGAAAAATGTGTTTAACTTTATAATTGGTCCAGTTTTGGGTGAAATTGGAATTCTAATGTAAATATCCTTTATTCATCCCACAGCAAACAACACAAATATCCATATGAAATAAAAGTTATGTCAAAATACCCTCAGAATGTAAAATAGAAGAAATGGAAATCTCTTTTATTCTTATGTCCCCTGATCAAAAGTATTGGACAACCCTGGTCTGAATAAATGAAATGGATTGTTGTCTGCAGTTGACGAGGATGAAGACGAAGGTAGAGTCGCTGCAGGAGTTTGAGGAGGGGCCTTTGGACTTTCAGCCCACGTACAAGTTTGACCTCCACTCTGACACTTACGACAGCAGGTGAAATGTTCTGTCCTTTTCATGCACAATATTATTATAGTATATATAAGTGTGAAATAAAAGGACGTGTCACTTTATCTGGTTTCAGGAGCTACAGGACATGGTTTTTCTTTAAGTAAGAAAGTCAAACTAACCAAAGGAAACTAACTATCCAGTATAGTGTATGAGTATCTGCTCGGTTACCATAGCAATACTCACGATAATGCTGTGCATGTGTATTTGAAGCATCATCCACCATCATTCAAAAAGTCTTGTTTAACAGAGTTGACTCAAACAGATTAAGTGCTGGGACCACAGTTACTGATTTCAATGTTTACGCTCAGTATTACATTGTAAGTAACACACCATGGACCTGTTAAACACATTTCTCATCAATACAAAGGGATGGTAACAATTAGTAACAGTTTGTGCTTCAAATATAATTTGCAGAATGATGTTTGATGAAAGAATAAGTGTCATCAGCGTCTGATTCTATTTAGCGTTTGTGTTTTATGCTTGTATTAATATTAATATACTGTCTTTAATATTGATTTTAATATTACTTATGTAGTGAGCATTTAACCAGAACATAATGCTTCCAGAGTTTGCCTTTTTTCAGCAAAGATGCATGAATTACAGTTTTTCAAAATCTGTTGTTGAATCAAAGACAGATGCTTTAATGGTCTGGAGTCAATTTTAATTAACATGTGTGTGTATAATTGATAATGATTGTGTATTGTTATTGCTCCACATTGACAATGCCCCACACCCTCTGTCTTCTCGTCAGTGGTAAGAAGAGGAAGCCCGCCTGGACCGACCGGATCCTGTGGCGGCTGCGTCCGAATCCCACACCGCCGGAGGACCCTGACCCCGGACTGAAGAAGAACTCAGACGTCCTGAAGCAGATTGTGGAGGTCACAGAGAATCCTCTGAGGATCACGCAGGAGCTTTACACCAGCCACATGGAGTACAGCCTCAGCGACCACAAGCCAGTGGTGGGCTGCTTCAGGCTGGAGGTGAGGCCTGTTTTATCCAGGGATGTGGTTAACCATAAATTGCCGATTGACAATTGTGATGATCCAGGACATTTGACATGCTATGACATTTATTCACATCTATTAACCTTTATGGACATTTGTCATCTGCCCATTTTGGACTATTGGCTCTATGTGTTTTTTTTATCATTGCATTTCCTGTGTTTGAACTGTTTCTGATCTGTGTTGGCCAATCGATAACTTTGCAAAGTCCTCCAAAACGAATCAGAATTATTTGTTTTGCTGTTGTGAGTAATAAGAAGTCAAAAACTAGGGAATGGCTTTGGCTCTCGGTGCAAACAAGTTAAAAAGCACAAAATAGAATGAGGCATGCATAAAGTTATAAAAATCTACATAACATTTCGTGATTTAGGGGTATACAAAAATGATTGGAATTGAATTGAACTTATCACAATACCAAACAGCAATCGCGTTATATATTTCTGATACATTTTATTTAGTGTCCATGTTTAATGTCTGTGCAGCTGCGTAAGATGCTGGACTCTCCGCTGGTGTGTTTGCGAGCGGAGGGAGACTGGAGCGCAGACATCGACTCCATCGTCCTCTACAGCCCTCAGCAGCCCTTCCCCTCCAGCTCCTGGGACTGGATCGGCCTCTACAAGGTGCCCCCACTCCCTCATCCCTCACTCCCCAATCCCTACTCACTCACAACAAGCTGAATCTGGCTACATAGATAGATACTTTATTGATCCCCCGTAAGAGAAATTCAGGTGTCCAGTGGCAGCAAAAATAAAGATAAAATTGATCACTCTAAAAAGCTAACAATAGTAATAATAAGCAACAGCCCATGAATTAATTCCTTTTCTAAATGTTTTTAAATATTTACCGAGAACACAACCAAACTCACTTTAAGAAATAATAAGATAATAGGCGACATTTAAGATAGTGCACATAGTACTGTAGGAATAAAAACCTACCCTAACACTAGCCCTGTAGTATGAAGTGGTAGTTTAGAAGTGATAAACTACTACTGTAGCCACAGCTGCTCTGGGGCACACTGACAGAAGCGAGGAAACCAGTGTGCGCCACTGGCTTCTCTGACCACCAACCATTCACACACATCAGACTCATACGAGGTCATGTGGGTGACGTGTCTTGCCTAAGGACACAACGGCTGTGTGGCACTTTACAGCCGCCCCACTGTGGCACCTGGTGTTCCATCACAGCACTAACCAGAGCCTACCCTGCTTAGCTTCAGAGGACACATGATATTCCAGCAGATAAAGGGATTTACCCAAACCCAGTGTGAAAGTACTGCAGATCATTGTAGATAGATGGATATAGATACGAATTGAGGATAATGAATTGAGTTGTATAAATGAGAAAGTAGCTGTTTGCAGTTGCACACGTGACTGAAAGTGTTGTTGTCATGAGGTGAAATGAAAAAAGGAACCACAAATGGAGGACTGAAAACAAAATGTAGTTTAATATAATTGTATCAAATCCAGGGTAACAATAAAGGACAAAAGTCCAGAACTAAAACTGTTTGTTTCTTTGATCTGTGTTGGCAAATTGACAGCTTTATGAAGTCCTCTGAGATTACTAGCGTTGTGATTTAAAGCTACAGACCAAAAGTGGGGAAAAATACAGGGTATAAACACACACGGAGGAGAATCATATTAATGTGACAGGAAGGAGAACTCAAAAAGGCGAGACGAAAGACGAGTCAAGAAAATAGATACAAGCTCATGACAGTTGTATCTGAGTGAGTGAGAGCAAAAGTCGATTGTTTTTTATTTTTTATTTAACCTTTATTTAACCAGGAAAAAATCCCATTGAGATTAAGAATCTCTTTTTCAAGGGAGTCCTGGCCAAGAGGCAGCAAAGTTACACATAAACACAACAGACAGATACAATTACATTAAAACAAAAATTAAAAATGACCGGTATACAGACTACACACATCAAGTAATAAATGTACATGTGATTTATAAATGATAATATTGTGTCCTTAATCAGACTATTTATGTTATTTAAATATACTGAAACTGTTTTGAACACAGGTGGGTTTCTCCAGTGTGTCAGACTACATCACTTACACTTGGGTCAAAGACAACGAAGCTGCTTTCAACGATGAACTCATGCAGGTACAGACTCCACGGCTCGTCTGAACACATGGATACAAATGCAAACAGGTCGCATCACGTCTGTGTTTGTCTGCGCTGTAGGTTTTCATGAGCAAAGAGGAGATCCCGGTCCGAGGAGGCGACTGCGTGCTGTGCTACTTCTGCAGTTCACTACAGAGCATCATAGGAATCAGCGAAACATTCAAGGTAAAAAATACTGCTGCTACTTTGACGGTATTTAAACTCTACACGTTTCTGCTCAGCGTTTGAAACACCTTTCATGAAGTGGGAGTTCAAGGTGACTCCAGTATATACGATTTTCACGAATTTTAGGAAGGCACAACCTGCTCCTGAGGGAACGCCCAGTCACACGCTCACTTTCCAAGAACATTTGCACTTTTTCCACTATGTCAGACAATACAGACTTTAAAAGCTTTTACTGGAAGTGATTTGAAATGTCTCCAAATAGAATCCAACTTTACCTTGAGTAGAAACTTGGCGACTAAAGCATCAGTGTTAAGCCCAACCTTAGCCCAACGCCATCGTGTGGAAGAATCTCCCAAAAACACTGGTCTTTACATTACATATCACCAGAATGATTGACACTTAGGAGGACCAATAGTTTTAAAGATCCACCCGGAAGAAGAAAAATCCTCAATTCAAGCAAGGCCTCTCATTCTGTTGTTTATACTGTATATTATTTTTATGTGTTTAACAGTTTCTTTCTTTCGTGATTTACAAAGAGTTAGTGTATATTTTTGACTTTCTGAATAACTGTGTATAGTATCACAGCTGATCTCTCCTACACTGAACCAGCCTTTGGAGCTCTTCCCATCAGGCTAACGATACAGAAGCCAAAAGCTCAGAAAAGCATCGACAAGTGCTCATTTGTTCCCACCGCTTTTGCACTTCATTGTAGTCTGGCACACACCAAAGATGTCTATAGACAAATAGATGTTAAAGTAGTATATAAGATTTTCATGTCAATCATTAAATTGCCCTAATCTGTCAAAAGGCATTAATAAACCATGGTCTTTTCCAATACATCTTTAACTAATAACAGTAGTTCAACCGAAATATTTGGATTTCAAAATGTGTTTTACAGCGCCTAAATCTTGTTATGGTTTTCATTTTGATGTCCCGCCCTCCACTGTTTCACCAATCAGAAAGGCCGTGATCCGGGTTGCCAGAACTCGCCACGTCGAGCTAATCTCACTGGTACGTCCAAGTCCATGTGGCCGCAGAACTAAAAAGCTCTTGTTATGATTCTCAAATCATTAACGACAAAACAAGGAATATAACCAGGATTTCTATCTTTGTGAAAAAGGTGTTTGTTATAGATTTGTTGTTGTCAAAACTCTATTCAGATATTGTGGTCCAAGCTGGATTTGTCTGCATATCTGGCAGCCTGAGTCAGGGAGAGTGCAGTACCACTTTTGGCCAGATTTTTTACATACTGTTCCTTTAAAGCTTTTCGAATCTTTGAAATAAAGACAATGATAGGGGTTTTTTAAACAAATCTATCTCCATATTCTTCTATGTGAGCCGTAGCCGGGTGATACGCTCCCCACTTCAAAGTTCAAAGCAACTATTTAAGCCAATTAAAGCTGATTTGATTATTTGTTTTTTGTCGCAGGTCCATGCATCCAAAGTGGCCCTGGAGGAGGGACTGATGCCTGAAAAACTCAATGGACTCGACCAAATAGTTGCAGATGAGTTTTGGAAATGATTCTGTTTGTTCTCTACAGTTTGGACCAGACAAGTTTAGTGTCTGCCAAAATGATCAGACCGAAGAATATAAGAAACGATATATATATATTATCTGCAGCCTCTGTTCCTCAGAGCTGGGACTGAATGAGGCCGTTCTGTGGTCTCTGTGTGATTTTGACTGAATCCTTTCGACTGTGAAAGATGTTACTTATAGTTTGTACAGAGAAGAAAATATTTACCGTTCACTGTTTACAATGAAGCCCCTTTAAATTATATTTATCTTTTCTAGTTTATTTTTAACTGCTGGAATGTGTAAAGTGGGATGTGTCTGGGTGACCACACTTTACTCATGATTTGTTTTAACTTCAGAAAATAGGAAAAGGGAAGAGGAATTGAATATAAGAAATATGAAAGTGAAAATTTACATTTTAAAATTGTAGGTGCTATTTGCTAATAATATTCACTGCAGACATATGTATATTTTGTCTTAAAATAATATTCACACAATTGTTTTTCAAGCAAAATCATCTTTTGGAGGTTTTGACTTAATTATTATCTCCATTCAGGCTGATATCAGGACGTTCTGGCATAGTTGTCCCATAGTTCTCCTTTTTCAAACTCATTACGACTGCGATGTCACCGACAAAGCCATGTTCTGCCTTTCAAAATAAAAGCATATTTGGAAAGGTTTTCTTCTCTCAATTACAAAAACATCAAAAACCAAAGCACATATTATTTTAAACTATGCATAATATATGTTTTTGAACATAGAAATCCCAATGCTCTTGAAAACTATCGCTGTTTTCTCATTGGCAAATCTTTCAGGACCTGCAGTAAAGATATAGTTATGCCTGATTCAAATATTTACTTATATGTAACAATTATTTGCAGTATTGAGCAGTTTTCACCATGATGACTTGATTATTGATGATCGAATCCCAACACAATGTCACTTTTCAGAACAGATTATTTTTGTTTATTTTTGAGCTGGGTCTAAAGACGTACAAAAAAAACCCAAAGTGTAATTTGAAAGGATCCAATGTTACGTCACGTTTCTAGTGTTTTTATAATCTTCTATTTGAACGGACCACTCCACAGATCTCGTTTAGTTCGTCGCTGTGTCTATGCTTTTAAACTGAAAAACCTGTAACCACGGCAACACAAGACGTTTGTACAGGTCTTGACCACAGCTTTCAGTTTTATAACCTGTTTTTTAAAGTCTTTGTGTCATAAACAACTGAACCAAAGCTACACAAGTGTCTTTGTTTGTGTTTTCATTCACTACGACAAAATCTGGGTTCAAAGCAGCCGCATTTTTAAGTAGTTATAATAATTTGAACTAAAATTTGTACATAATAATTTCAGACAATATAAATATCATATATAAAATTATTTTCACAGTATTTAACAAAACACAAAAACATGTGAATAAATGAAACGGTTGAGTATTTAAAACCTCAGCATCCAAAGTGATTATTTTTTTCTCCAAAATCAACTAATAAACTAGTAGAGTAAAGCTTTTTAAAATAATAATACATGTGTTAATATAAGTTTTATTTCTGCCACAACCACATTACATGAGTATTCTTAAAAGGTTTTTATAACAAACTCAATATATATGGCATCCTGCGATAGATTATTCTCTGCATTATACTGGATCAATGCATAGAGTCTGAAGGTTTGACACAGACTAAGTTTGTGTGGAACTTTTGCACTTTCTGCCCAAGACCCTGCCCAACTTTTACAATACAATATTTTCATCACGTTCCACCACCAGCTCTATTGGAAACCAAATGTGACTTTATTGTGTGCCTGAAATTCAGATAAAAATAAATCAAATAATAGTTTTCAGAGCAAAAAAACATCTCTACAATGAATTTCAACTGCAGTGGTCTCTCGCTTTAACGCGGTTCATCTTTCGTGTTCTCGCTGTTTAGCTTTTTTTTTTATACAGCGTGTTTTAAGGTTTTACAGTCTTTTGCGTATTGCGGGACCGCTATATTTGAAATTCAGATTAAACAGATTATCTTTCATGACATGAATAATGAAAACCATAATGTTTCCTAATATTATGATAATAGTTAGTTTGGCAAACTTAAAATTATCTGTAATGAAACACAGCACCTAACAATGTCTTTGCAACAGAAAAACAAGGGACAGGATATGTAATTTTTTTGTCTTCCTTCTGTTCCTGTTTGTTCTTTCTGCACAAAAATACAACACACTGCAAAAAGTGATAAGAAATGTCAAAATTACTCAAATTTAGCAAAATGTATCTTCATTTCAGCACATGTTGACTGCCTTAAAACCAGATTTGCCGATGGGACAAAGTAAAAATATATATATATATATATATATATATATATATTTTTTTTTTTTTAAATACTTGAGAAAAGAATTCTTGAAATGAGACTAAATGGCTTTGTCCCATTAGCAAATCTTGTTTTAAGACATTCAGAAAGTTGATTTATTACATTATATTTTATCATTTTTGTAGTGCATTTATGATATCTAATATGATGATGATGATGACATGGACATATATTATTATGAACTCTCACACATCCAAACAAGAAGTATGACTAATATTGAGCTATGATACGCACTCATATATGGGCATAACAGTATGTAAACAAATCACTGAGAGAACAGCTGAAGATATTTCTGCGCAGACGTTTGTCCCTTAGCTTTGCGCAGTGGTCTCTCTGTGTTTGAGGCAGATGTGGACTTTGCACTTCTCCTGAAAGAAGACAAAAGTCAGGTAAAAAACCCCTGCACATTTATAGTTATTGTTGTAAGAGCAGTGTACGGACCACGTGCCAGCGCAGAGTGGCCCAGGGCAGGACGAGCTGACAGTGGGGGCAGGTGCTGTGTTCTGTCTTCTCCTCGTCTGTTTGTGGGATGTTTTTGAGACGCAGCTTCGAGAAATCCAGCCCTGAAGCCTGGGGGGTCTCGTCCTCTGAGTCCGAGTCTGAGTCCTCCAGGTTCCACAAGGGGGCAGCAGTGCACCTCATCTGAGAACACCAGAAACATTCCCTTACTACTGTGCCGTAGCCTGGCCTTTGCCATCCGTAAACTCCGGTCAAATCTGGGTATGGTAAAACCAGGCTAACTGTGCCGTAACCATGGATCTATTATATTAACTGGATAGAGTATTACTAGCTTGAAGCTGAATAACTCATGTGCTCGGGGGATTCTCGCGGTACTGCAGACTGAACCAGACTAAATTCACGTGGGCTACCCAGAAATGTTCCCCATAGAACTCAATGCATATTAAAACAGCTCGACCTCAGCTGACAGAGAACCTACAGCTTTCATAAAGGTCGGATTTTGTGGGGATTTTAGTGTCCCTTGTCATCCTGAACTTTTTTTCTTCTTAAATCCACACTTTAGTGCCACAAACTCTGCTCCTCTGGCTCTCGCTCTAACTCCCGCTCTGATGAACTGCTCTGATTGGTCAGAGCGTGGCCGAGCCCCTCTGTGCACGTGCGTGAGACCCGGTGTGAGACCCACACACGCGTGTTTGGCGCAACGCATTATGGGAGATCATCCACTGCGCAGAACCGGGAGGACCAGACGATGCCCAAATACAGGCGAGTTTCCCCTAGATCTTTGTGACTTCCGCTAATCTTTCAGCCCCCATGCCGTCACAAAGCGCCACTGAGCACGACCATTCATTTGAATAGGGCACCATCTTGGATCGCCGGGGCTTGGCCGTAACGTGTAGTGTCGTACCGTATTGTACTGTTGTGTTTTTCTGTAGGGGCAGGATTGAACTAAAGCCTGGATATGTTGAGCTAAGATTTGGTGTGTGGAATTTGCATGTTCTCCCTGTGTCTTCATAGGTTTCCTCCGGGTGCTCCAGTTTCCCCTACCACTAATTACATGTGCAACCATGAAGACATAGTTTTCAGGGTTTCAGGGTTTTAGGGTTGAGATTGTCGAGTCAGTATATTATTATAATGCAGGCAGATGCACATTTTGTGTTATAATGTGTGTATTTTTAAATATATAAAAGGTCTGACTCACTTCATGTTTCTGGATTTCTTCTATAGGGATGGACTCCAGGCAGATTTTACACATTTGTTTGAATTTTCCTTAAATACGAATGAAAATTAGGTCAGTTTCCAAAATACTACAGAACTTTTCTATTCATAACTAAAGACAATAAAACAAAGAAATTAGCTCAAGCTGAATAAATGATACTTAATAATAATTACTACACACATATGAGCAAAGATTTCACATATATTAAAAAAACACATCCACATTAAATGAAATATGCTGAAATAGATATTAAATTCTGACCAGATGCAAATGCACGATGACTATAATAAATTGTTTTTGTTTTTTGATAACGCAGTCGACCCGTGGAAAGACCCAGGACACACAAGAGGACTTTTTTAGTCTACTATGCAAAATCCTACCCTCATATCTCTTATGTTATTGTTAGACATTTCTAGTTATTTTTTTATCCATTCTTATTGATAATTTAGTGTGTGTTTTTGGGTGGGATAAATAACGTATAGAATCAGAATCTTGTTTGTTTTTGTTGCTGCTCTTTTAATTCAATTCAATTTATTTTTGTATACTCCTAATTCAGCAGTTAGGACATACAAAGTTGTTGATGCGACTACACAACCAGATAATCGTATGCAATATTTGATATGTTTGTGTGTAATTGTGAGTCAGAAATATTCTGTGTGTTGAATGACTCAATATAATAATAATAATGATGATGATAAAAATTAGAGTAAGAATTAATGCAGGAGCCAATATTAGTTTGCAGTCTCAGTGTCTCTATCTGGTGGACGCACTGGGTAAAGGCTACATAAGGTGTCTCCTGACCTCACTCTCCAACTTGCTTTTCATTATGATTTACCTGCCCCATCCTGAGTTTTTTGTACAATTTTAAATTCTGTTTTTGTTTTGAATGATAAAAACTATATTTTACAGACAATTTTTGTGGACATTTCTTATTTCTATGTGGAGCGTCAGACCCTTTTTAATGCTCAGTCACCAGAGAGAAAGGAACCTTTTTTCTCTACAATTAATACAATAATAATTTAAAGAAACTTGAATAACTTAAAGTACCAAGATTGGAATTCTTACGTGTTGTTTTGGTCTTCCCTTCTCCCTGCGCACCTTTGGATCCACTCGATGCACTGGGCTCGTTGTGGTCTAACTCTAAGTCCAGATACAAACATGTTTTCTCGTGCTCTTGCTGATCGCACAGTTTCACGTATCGTCCGCAGTCGGGACAGGGCTCGGTGCGACTCCCGCAGGCCACAGCGTGTTCCTGCAGCTCGGTCCAGGGCAGAGTCAGATCACAGAAGACACACAACTGCAGCCGCAAAGGACACTCCTGCTCCTGGGACACAAGTCAGAGAGGTCCGTTAATACGAGGACCTCACAAAACCTCTCCTGCTTTTAGCCTGTAGTACACATGGTCTCTCACAACAAATGGTAAAGCTGCGGTACCTAACCTTTCCCCAACCAATATCCTAATCTAATATGGAATTTAAACAGACTAATAAGTAGACAGCACTCTTGCTTCTCAGTAAGAAGGTCCAGGGTTAGAATCCCGGTCAGAACAGGGCCTTTCTAAGTGGAGTTTGCATGTTCTCCCTGCGTCTCCGTAGGTTTCCTCCGAGTGCTCCGGTTTCCCCTACCACTAAAACCATGCACAATAGGTATGAATGTAATGAGTGAGTGAATGTATGGTGTTTGGTCAGAGGCTTTGATGCTTGTGTGTTCGGCGTCTCGCTTTTGTGATCACTGTGTGGGGGGTTTGGAACAATATCTGAACTCTGAACATTGTAAAGCGCTTTGGGTGGCCTTGGTCTGTATGCTCTTCTTTTTGATGTTATTAATTTACTCATTTTACATTCCTACATTTCGGGTTCATTTCACTCTTCCACCCGAAAAAAAACTTGAAAATTCAAAATATTCTCAAGATCACGCTTTAGGGCAAAAATATTGACTTTAGTTATTGTTCAGGTTCAATCAAATCAATAAAGATGTTTATTTTAAAACACTACACAAATCCACCTGGCAAAAAATACCACATTTGTACAAGAAGTTTTTCTTTTAAAGGGGAAAGGGATTGGATGAAGCAGGCACTTATAAAAATCATTTTCAAAAATCCGTGATCAAACATTTACCTTGACGTAGTTGCGAGGGGCCAGAGTGGACATGAAAACCTGGCTCCATGGGTCGTCAAACACAGAGTCGGACATGAATCTGAGCGGGCCAGAATACACCTCCTGCAGACTGACACACGCCGCCTTAGTCAACCACTGTATTCAACTACACAACACTAATCACTAATGACATCACAGCGTCTCCACTCGGTCCATGGTAAACATCACAGAAAGACGGAATGTGCATCTGGGTTGATTAAAGTTTGCTTGATTTTGCAGCACTTTTAAAAATTATTATGAAAATAGACTTATTCTTATCATTGATTGGTCTGTTTTAACAATGTACTGGTTTCTATCCCAAAAGCCAGTGGTATGTATTTAAATGATTTAATGGCCATGAAATTGGTTCTAGGGGAAAAAGGCATTCAAATTACTGATGTTTTCTGTTGTAGCTGCCATTTTGAGAACATTTGCCCATTATGGATTGATTGAGAGTAATAGACTACATAAAAAGGCCTGATTTAAGATTAGCAAAACACTATGTATATATGCCCTCTGTATATGTATGTGTGTTTTTTACATTTGTAGCTTTTCCATCTCTCCAAAACTGTAAAAAGTGTATGCCTTCAAAGCAGTTCTCAAAAAAAAAACATAAAAAAAACTAAATACATCAATGTAACAATGAGCTCTCTTGTTGATAGCTTCACTCTGCACATATATAGTAATGCAGCGTGCTTTTTTACCCAATCACGTAGAGGTCCGGACTCTTTGAGGAATTGAGGTGAAGCAGTGAAGTCACGTCGTCAGGCGGGTCGGCTGTGGCCACGTTCCACGTCACCATGTGCAGCCTGCAGCAACAAACCACCTCACATTAGAAACGCATCCGTCCTGTTACACTGGAGCCATTTGGGATCAACACACACCAACATTTGTCCTATTTCACTGAATTTGACACTGATTTTAATTCAGTGTCAAGGTTAGAATAAAACAGTCTCATTCACACTGAGCCACAAAGTCAATGACTAACTATTACTATAAAAGTATTTGGTTCTTTGATACCAGAGAATAGTAGGTTAGAGATGCTATTACCTTAAAAATGAGGAAAGCTTCACAAATGTGCGTGTCAAGAAGACAAGATTTACCTTCCTAAACAAACTTACTTTTATCACAACGGCTATTACTATTACGATGAATCAGTTGATTTAAGTCTTTTTGTGATTTCAAAATTGTCATCATTTGCAACACAATAAATGAGACCTCAGAATTTGATCACAAGCAGCAATAATGCAAAACAAGCCACTTTAAATTCAAAAGAAATAGGTTATAAATAGGTTTGGGGGAAAAAAAATGACACAAAAAATAGGACAAAGAATACGGAGCAGAGAAGAGTATTCAAAACAACAGCACTGGTAAATTATATGTAAATAGTAGAACTAATTTATACACACAGCACATTCATAATATACAATGGAAAATAGTGAATAAGTAATGCTTCTCATCCATCCGAACGTCAAATCCAATCAACAATTGTTGAAGCTTTTACCGATTGCTGCAGACTTGTCCATTAAAAGCTCCAATAAGATTATTATAAATATGAATGTTTGGAAAAATAGTTTTGCCCTGATTCAAATAAAAGTAGATGGAATTTAAATTTTAGCAAACTACAACACACTGCAATACATTCTTGCAGAGTAACTTCCAAGTAAAAAACCCACAAATTTCACTAATGCTACAACACCAGCTCTGTACCTGAAGCAGTCCTTTCTGTTCCTTCTTTTGCCACAAACCAAAAAGACATTGTCCAGAGTCTGGGCCACTTTGAGCTCGTCTTTGGGGTTGAGGTCTTCCACGCAGGTCAGGAGCTGCTGCAGCCTGTGCCTCAACACCATGCGGCTTCCTGTGGACTGAGTGGCATCGCTGGCCATGCTCTCCGACCGCACACGGGCCTTAGCTCCGAAAATGCGATTAATCTCATCCATAACTACCGTCTTCTTTCAAGTATGGCAAAAATAACAGCAAATTTAAGAATAAAAACTTGGAAATAGTACCTGCACGAAGCAAAAGAGGCTGATGGCTGCAGTGGAAATGATCGAACTGCAATTCTACAGTCTGTAGGATTTGAAATTAGCCAATGGTGTGATTAGCGAATTGGTTCATTTGTCTACAAGTTTTTCTTTGTGCCTTCAACAATCCCATAATCCTATTGTATTGTAAAGTGTCTCAATGCTGGAATAAAATTGAGAGAAAGCGTTTTCCTACGTTTGTAACTAGTGCCACAATATTACCTCAATCCGCATTACAGTTTTTTGTTTGTGAAATCTAATCCTGCGACCAGAGACAAGGTTATAGTCTCAGGGTCAATCCAATTCATTTGAGCAATCACAATCATAATTCCCCCAACTATGCCTGGAACATTATGTAACAAAGCAGAATCAAAAATGCATATGATTAACTGTATAGAGGGTCAATATTTGGCTGAAATAAGGCTGTATTGAGGAATAATGCCCTGACCTTTTACTGTTTTTATTATCAGATTGTATTTAATAACAAGACGAAAACATAATTACTTTAGATGAAAAAATCTAATTATTGTTCTTCGCAGAATCAAATCAATGTGTTTTTGTAAAGCCCAAATTCACAACTGTAGTGTCTGTTAGGGACATATTTGTTGATTCACCAATAGCAGATCAGAAAATAAAACAATTAGAAGAAACACACAATAAAAACACCTAAGAGTTATTGTTTACATAGGATCACAGGTTAACAAACACCAATATCCATAAATGTTCAGAAATGACCCGGATAAATTCAGATAAATGTATTTTCATATGGCCCCAAAACACAACAGCAGTTCTCTCTGAGGCCGTGACAAAGTTGACGAATTACTGAGAACAGATCAGAGAATCATGTCCTGTCGTTAGCCTCATGCATCTTGAAGGAAAAACTCAAAAACCTGGTGTAAGAAACTGTGGGCTGTTACTCTTTACCCTTCAACTTCTGCCATTAGAAAATATTTTGAAGTCTGTCTTTGCATTAAATTGTATGAGATAAAACATTCCATGACAAAAAGGGCATTGTGAGTTTCTAGAATAAAAAAAATATGCATGGATTTAACTGCAAACAATTTCAATTTAAGTCAGACGATTTCTATTAAATTCAATCAAGCAATTATTTTAACTTAAATAAAAGAAGAAGAGTGCATTGTTTTTTCCAACTCCACGGCATCATATCTAAGTTGCTACCTGAATGTTTCGGTTTCATGGTCCCTCCTCGTTGGAGTGTCATCTGACTGCTCCTCTGTCTCCTCCATTGAACCTGGAAAAGTAATAGTAAAACTACAATTTAATAAAAAAAGAAAACAAAAACAACAAAATATATACATGCACTGTATGCCAAAATATGAAGCCAACAAGTAGTCACAAAGGGTTAGGTCACAAGCTCAGTTTAGCACAATAGTTTTCATATGATGTTTTGCCTCCATCACAGCCTCAGATCAGATTGTTCAGACGGGAATGTGAACCAGCCTAAAGAGACTATTTGACTCAAAGAAGTTGCAAAGTATTAAATGTTTTCTTATCAAACTATGATGAAGACTCTGACAGAACGTGTGGGTCTTAATGTGTTCTGCTTTTACGAGGCTGTTCGTGTTCCTGGGACAAACCACAAGCATTATTTATTAAGCAAAGTTAAGTACGCCATCTTTAGATAGCGTACTTAATTATTATCGAGAAGTAGCAACGAGCTAGCTACACGAACCCGCTAAGTTAAATAAAAACACACTCCAGTCAGCGCCTACTGGACTTTGACACAAAATGAATTGTAATAATTGCAATAAAATACAGTAAAAGTTTCCAGTTATTGTTCTGTATATTCAACACAATACATTAGAAAAATAGCAGCACTATGATTCGCTCCAAAAGCTAATTCTACAGGTGAGCTTGTGAAGAGTTAATATCGATGTTATAACCATGGATCCATTATAACATAACTATGTAACAGCTAGTCTGTGACAGCTAGAGTTAGCACAAGCGGCTAACCCCCAAAACCATCAAACTGAAAACATGGAGCCATGTAATAGAAATGTTACCTTCTAAAAGCTGTGATAGCGGATCCACAGGTCGTGTTGTCGCTTGATTCCGTAGTAAACAAATGTACAGTAACAACACGAGCGGCACCCGGAAGATGTCGTTTCCGGTGTCCCGCCCCTTTACCGGAAATGAGTGGTTTTCAAAATAAAGGAACTGCATATTTTCAAGTGCGCTACGGCGACTACTGTAAACACTGTAACTTAGAAACGCGATAATAATACATATGATTACACATCCCAAACTCTTCTGGACTGGATTTTAGTGACTCGTCCTGATAGATTTGTTGAATCTGGTGTATTATCTGACTGTTTCAGTGATCACTGCATTATTTACTGCATCTGGAAAATTAAACGCCCCCGTCTTCCACCAAAATGTATCTAAATCCGTAAAACAAAATTTCTCAACATAAATAACTTCATTAGTGACATACTAAATATTAATTGGGACAGACTTATTTTAATACCCTCTATAAATGAAGCCTGGGACTACTTTCACACAGAATTATTAAATGTCATCAATAAACACGCACCACTGACTGAAATCAGGGTTAAGGGAAACCATCTCCCCTGGGTAAATGGTGAGCTGCTCAGTCTTTACAGGAAAAGGGATAAGGCTTGGTCTAAATTAAATACTTCAAAGCTCGTCCATGACTGGGAGGACTACAGACGGCTGCGCAACTCTTGTACCACTCAAACAAGAAATGCCAGATCCAATTACCATAAAAATTGTTTAACAAATAACTTCAACAACCCTAAAAAATTCTGGAAACACATCAACAATATATCCGGTAAATCGAATTCTGACTCCAACAATATTCTGATTAATGATGCACAAATGATCCCACTACCATTGCCAATGCCTTCAATCATCATTTTTCTCATTTGCCTCATGTCCAATCTCCTCCTCACTCCTCCACTCCACCCAGTGCCGTTCCTTGTGGCAGCAGTTTCTCTTTTAGACCAGTGAGTCCAGCTGCAGTAGAATGCATAATAAACGGGCTGTCTCTGGGCAGTGCCGGTCCTGATGGCATAGAGACAAGGTACAATGGCCTCTCATGTTCTGTGCTTTCCTCTGGCAGATCTATTCAACCTTTCATTTAGCTCTTGTGAAGTTCCCTCTACCTGGAAACGTGCAAAAGTCATCCCCCTTCACGAAGGAGGTGACATCAGTGACATGAACAACTATAGGCCCATCTCAATAATCAATAGCATTCATGGAGAAATTCCCCACTACCTCGCATGAAAACGATAACAAAATTCTAACTTTTATGCGATGATTGCATAACTTCAATCCGTCCAGATGGAGAAATGACATGGTAGAAGTCTGTGCGATGAAAAATCCAGGGACTAGTACGAAGCCAAAAATGCGACACCTTGAACTGCCTGTAGGTGGCGCTGTTGCACTCACAGTTGTGTGTTGTATATTGTTGTGTTCAGGGTCATACGCTGTGTTACTGAATTCATTTTTAGCCTCATCGGACAAACATTTTGCCCAAAAAGCTCCTTCATTCATTTTTCCGGCGCCCCCAGTGGTCAGGTGTAGGACTTACAACTTTTGCGTAATGTAATGTTTTGCTCGTCTCGGTCCAGAAAATACACTCAGCGATTTTCGGGCCGATCCGAGCACTAGTGCCCTATTACTTTCCGACAGGTGGCGCTAAAGAGCTCAAATTGGGCGAATGATTTTAGTGTCATTGCGTTCAGGCCATAACCTAATATTACTGATGTGAGTCTCAGCTCTGTAGGTCTGAGCCTGTGGCCCTCAGGGCTCAGCGAAAATGGCCAAAACGAAGGCCTTATTCGCCATGGCGAGGGACAAAAACAGTGAAGATTTTCTAACTTTTTTTCGATGATTATATAACTTCAATCCGTCCAGATTAGGAAATGACGTGGTAGAACTCTGTGTGATGAAAAACCAGGGACTAGTTCAAATTTCTAATTGAAAAGTCAAATTAGTGGTGAAACTTTGGCCCATCATGGCCGACTTCCTGTTGGTCCCAGACATGTGCTTAGAACGGCTTTTATGCTCGTCTCATAGAGATCTATCACTCAGCCGAATTTCGTGTACCTACTCCAAAATATGCAATCCTGCCTCCAATAGAAATGGCAAATTTTGAATTTTCAAGGGGGCGCTATTGATTCGCCTTTTGTCGGACAATCTCGAAACGTCTGTTTTATCAAATTTTTCGCCGAACCGGTCGTTTTAGACCCCCCATGTGCAGACTTTTGTGCATGTCTTCAGGGTCAAAAATCGAATTGTTTCGGCGGAAAAAGAATAATATGAAACCACCGAATAACAATTTTCATTAAAGCCGCAAGCGGCGATGAAAGGCCTCGCCCCTCTTGCGACCGCCTCCCGGGCGCCAGTCCCACAAGCGTCACGCCGACGAATTGGCAGCCCGATCTGACCAGGATTACGTACATAAAAGCTCATTTATATGATAAAGTGCGTCCCTAGTGGTCCCCTCCGGGACATGCACCCTCTACGTAGAGTAGTATTTTGCTCGTACAGATGTAAAGATCTGATTTTGCAACTTTGGTGAAGATCGGAAAAGTTTAGGTCAGAAGCCTTCCATAGGTGGCGCTGTAGAGTCATATTAGGTGTGTGTTTTCACACTATTACTCTCAGGTCATTACCAACTGTTAGCGATGTGAGTTTCAGCTCTGTAGGTCTGAGCCTGTGGTCAGGAGAGCATCAAACATGGAGAAATTCCCCGCTACCTCGCATGAAAACGATAACAAAATTCTAACTTTTATGCGATGATTGCATAACTTCAATCCGTCCAGATGGAGAAATGACATGGTAGAAGTCTGTGCGATGAAAATCCAGGGACTAGTACGAAGCCAAAAATGAGACACATTGAACTGCCTGTAGGTGGCGCTGTTGCACTCACAGTTGTGTGTTGTATATCGTTGTGTTCAGGGTCATACGCTGTATTTCTGAATTCATTTTTAGCCTCATCGGACAAAGATTTTGCCCCAAAAAGCTCATTTATTCACTTTGGCGCCCCAGTGGTCAGGTGTGGGACGTACAACTTTTGCGTAATGTAATGTTTTGCTCGTCTCGGTCCAGAGAATACACTCAGCGATTTTCGGGCCGACCCGAGCACTAGTGCCCTATTACTTTCCGACAGGTGGCGCTAAAGAGCTCAAATTGGGCGAATGATTTTAGTGTCATTGCGTTCAGGCCATAACCTAATATTACTGATGTGAGTCTCAGCTCTGTAGGTCTGAGCCTGTGGCCCTCAGGGCTCAGCGAAAATGGCCAAAACGAAGGCCTTATTCGCCATGGCGAGGGACGAAAACGGTGAAGATTTTCTAACTTTTTTTCGATGATTATATAACTTCAATCCGCCCAGAGCGGGAAATGACGTGGTAGAACTCTGTGTGATGAAAAACCAGGGACTAGTTCGAATTTATAAATGAAAAGTCAAATTAGTGGCGAAACTTTGGCCCATCATGGCCGACTTCCTGTTGGTCCCAGACATGTGCTTAGACCGGCTTTTATGCTCGTCTCATAGAGATCTATCACTCATCCGAATTTTGTGCACCTACTCCAAAATATGCAATCCTGCCTCCAATAGAAATGGCAAATTTTGAATTTTCAAGGGGGCGCTATTGATTCGCCTTTTGTCGGACAATCTCGAAACGTCCGTTTTATCAAATTTTTCGCCGGACCGGTCGTTTTAGACCCCCCATGTGCAGACTTTCGTGCATGTCTTCAGGGTCAAAAATCGAATTGTTTCGGCGGAAAAAGAATAATATGAAACCACCGAATAACAATTTTCATTAAAGCCGCAAGCGGCGATGAAAGGCCTCGCCCCTCTTGCGACCGCCTCCCGGGCGCCGGTCCCACAAGCGTCACGCCGACGAATTGGCAGCCCGATCTGACCAGGATTACGTATATAAAAGCTCATTTATATGATAAAGTGCGTCCCTAGTGGTCACCTCCGGGACATGCACCCTCTACGTAGAGTAGTATTTTGCTCGTACAGATGTAAAGATTTGATTTTGCAACTTTGGTGAAGATCGGAAAAGTTTAGGTCAGAAGCCTTCAATAGGTGGCGCTGTAGAGTCATATTAGGTGTGTGTTTTCACACCATTACTCTCAGGCCATTACCAACTATTAGCGATGTGAGTTTCAGCTGTGTAGGTCTGAGCCTGTGGTCAGGAGAGCATCAAACATGGAGAAATTCCCCACTACCTCGCATGAAAACGATAACAAAATTCTAACTTTTATGCGATGATTATATAACTTCAATCCGTCCAGATGGAGAAATGACATGGTAGAAGTCTGTGCGATGAAAATCCAGGGACTAGTACGAAGCCAAAAATGCGACACATTGAACTGCCTGTAGGTGGCGCTGTTGCACTCACAGTTGTGTGTTGCATATCGTTGTGTTCAGGGTCATACGCTGTATTTCTGAATTCATTTTTAGCCTCATCGGACAAATATTTTGCCCCAAAAAGCTCATTCCTTCACTTTACGGCGCCCCCAGTGGTCAGGTGTGGGACTTACAACTTTTGCATAATGTAATTTTTTACTTGTCTCGGTCCAGAGATTACACTCAGCGATTTTCGGGCCGATCCGAGCACTAGTGCCCTATTACTTTCCGACAGGTGGCGCTAAAGAGCTCATATTGGGCGAATGATTTTAGTGTCATTGCGTTCAGGCCATAACCTAATATTACTGATGTGAGTCTCAGCTCTGTAGGTCTGAGCCTGTGGCCCTCAGGGCTCAGCGAAAATGGCCAAAACGAAGGCCTTATTCGCCATGGCGAGGGATGAAAACGGTGAAGATTTTCTAACTTTTTTTTGATGATTATATAACTTCAATCCGTCCAGATTAGGAAATGACGTGGTAGAACTCTGTGTGATGAAAAACCAGGGACTAGTTCGAATTTGTAAATGAAAAGTCAAATTAGTGGCGAAACTTCGGCCCATCATGGCCGACTTCCTGTTGGTCCCAGACATGTGCTTAGACCGGCTTTTATGCTCGTCTCATAGAGATCTATCACTCATCCGAATTTCGTGTACCTACTCAAAAATATGCAATCCTGCCTCCAATAGAAATGGAAAATTTTGAATTTTCAAGGGGGCGCTATTGATTCGCCTTTTGTCGGACAATCTCGAAACGTCCGTTTTATCAAATTTTTCGCCGAACCGGTCGTTTTAGACCCCCCATGTGCAGACTTTCGTGCATGTCTTCAGGGTCAAAAATCGAATTGAAGATGCGGAAAAAAAAGAATAATAATAATAATATGAAACCGGTGAATAACAATAGGCCTCCCCAATACTTCGTATTGGCTCGGCCTAATTAAAGCCGCAAGCGGCGATGAAAGGCCTCGCCCCTCTTGCGACCGCCTCCCGGGCGCCGGTCCCAAAAGCGTCACGCCGACGAATTGGCAGCCCGATCTGACCAGGATTACGTATATAAAAGCTCATTTATATGATAAAGTGCGTCCCTAGTGGTCACCTCCGGGACATGCACCCTCTACGTAGAGTAGTATTTTGCTCGTACAGATGTAAAGATTTGATTTTGCAACTTTGGTGAAGATCGGAAAAGTTTAGGTCAGAAGCCTTCAATAGGTGGCGCTGTAGAGTCATATTAGGTGTGTGTTTTCACACCATTACTCTCAGGCCATTACCAACTATTAGCGATGTGAGTTTCAGCTGTGTAGGTCTGAGCCTGTGGTCAGGAGAGCATCAAACATGGAGAAATTCCCCACTACCTCGCATGAAAACGATAACAAAATTCTAACTTTTATGCGATGATTATATAACTTCAATCCGTCCAGATGGAGAAATGACATGGTAGAAGTCTGTGCGATGAAAATCCAGGGACTAGTACGAAGCCAAAAATGCGACACATTGAACTGCCTGTAGGTGGCGCTGTTGCACTCACAGTTGTGTGTTGCATATCGTTGTGTTCAGGGTCATACGCTGTATTTCTGAATTCATTTTTAGCCTCATCGGACAAATATTTTGCCCCAAAAAGCTCATTCCTTCACTTTACGGCGCCCCCAGTGGTCAGGTGTGGGACTTACAACTTTTGCATAATGTAATTTTTTACTTGTCTCGGTCCAGAGATTACACTCAGCGATTTTCGGGCCGATCCGAGCACTAGTGCCCTATTACTTTCCGACAGGTGGCGCTAAAGAGCTCATATTGGGCGAATGATTTTAGTGTCATTGCGTTCAGGCCATAACCTAATATTACTGATGTGAGTCTCAGCTCTGTAGGTCTGAGCCTGTGGCCCTCAGGGCTCAGCGAAAATGGCCAAAACGAAGGCCTTATTCGCCATGGCGAGGGATGAAAACGGTGAAGATTTTCTAACTTTTTTTTGATGATTATATAACTTCAATCCGTCCAGATTAGGAAATGACGTGGTAGAACTCTGTGTGATGAAAAACCAGGGACTAGTTCGAATTTGTAAATGAAAAGTCAAATTAGTGGCGAAACTTCGGCCCATCATGGCCGACTTCCTGTTGGTCCCAGACATGTGCTTAGACCGGCTTTTATGCTCGTCTCATAGAGATCTATCACTCATCCGAATTTCGTGTACCTACTCAAAAATATGCAATCCTGCCTCCAATAGAAATGGAAAATTTTGAATTTTCAAGGGGGCGCTATTGATTCGCCTTTTGTCGGACAATCTCGAAACGTCCGTTTTATCAAATTTTTCGCCGAACCGGTCGTTTTAGACCCCCCATGTGCAGACTTTCGTGCATGTCTTCAGGGTCAAAAATCGAATTGAAGATGCGGAAAAAAAAGAATAATAATAATAATAATATGAAACCGGTGAATAACAATAGGCCTCCCCAATACTTCGTATTGGCTCGGCCTAATAATAATAATAATATGAAACCGGAAACCGGTGAATAACAATAGGCCTCCCCAATACTTCGTATTGGCTCGGCCTAATAATAATATGAAACCGGTGAATAACAATAGGCCTCCCCAATACAAAGTATTGGCTCGGCCTAATTAAAGCCGCAAGCGGCGATGAAAGGCCTCGCCCCTCTTGCGACCGCCTCCTGGGCGCCAGTCCCACAAGCGTCACGCAGACGAATTGGCAGCCCGATCTGACCAGGATTACATATATAAAAGCTCATTTATATGATAAAGTGCGTCCCTAGTGGTCACCTCCGGGACATGCACCCTCTACGTAGAGTAGTATTTTGCTCGTACAGATGTAAAGATTTGATTTTGCAACTTTGGTGAAGATCGGAAAAGTTTAGGTCAGAAGCCTTACATAGGTGGCGCTGTAGAGTCATATTAGGTGTGTGTTTTCACACCATTACTCTCAGGTCATTACCAACTGTTAGTGATGTGAGTTTCAGCTCTGTAGGTCTGAGCCTGTGGTCAGGAGAGCATCAAACATGGAGAAATTCCCCACTACCTTGCATGAAAACGATAACAAAATTTGTATGCGATGATTACATAACTTCAATCCGTCCAGATATAGAAATGACATGGTAGAAGTCTGTGCGATGAAAATCCAGGGACTAGTACGAAGCCAAAAATGCAACACATTGAACTGCCTGTAGGTGGCGCTGTTGCACTCACAGTTGTGTGTTGCATATCGTTGTGTTCAGGGTCATACGTTGTATTTCTGAATTCATTTTTAGCCTCATCGGACAAACATTTTGCCCTAAAAAGCTCATTTATTCACTTTCCAGCGCCCCCAGTGGTCAGGTGTAGGACTTACAACTTTTGCGTAATGTAATGTTTTGCTCGTGTCGGTCCAGAGAATACACTCAGCGATTTTCGGGCCGATCCGAGCACTAGTGCCCTATTACTTTCCGACAGGTGGCGCTAAAGAGCTCAAATTGGGCGAATGATTTTAGTGTCATTGCGTTCAGGCCATAACCTAATATTACTGATGTGAGTCTCAGCTCTGTAGGTCTGAGCCTGTGGCCCTCAGGGCTCAGCGAAAATGGCCAAAACGAAGGCCTTATTCGCCATGGCGAGGGACGAAAACGGTGAAGATTTTCTAACTTTTTTTCGATGATTATATAACTTCAATCCGTCCAGAGCGGGAAATGACGTGGTAGAACTCTGTGTGATGAAAAACCAGGGACTAGTTCGAATTTATAAATGAAAAGTCAAATTAGTGGCGAAACTTTGGCCCCTCATGGCCGACTTCCTGTTGGTCCCAGACATGTGCTTAGAACGGCTTTTATGCTCGTCTCATAGAGATCTATCACTCATCCGAATTTCGTGTACCTACTCCAATATTTGAAAAAAAATCCCCAGAGGGTCAAAAAAAATGAAATTTCTAGGGGGCGTTATAGAGTCGGCGAGCGTCGGACAATCTGGAAACGTTCATTTTATCAAATTTTTCGCCGGACCGGTCGTTTTAGACCCCCCATGTGCAGACTTTCGTGCATGTCTTCAGGGTCAAAAATCGAATTGAAGATGCGGAAAAAAAAGAATAATATGAAACCGGTGAATAACAATAGGCCTCCCCAATACTTCGTATTGGCTCGGCCTAATTATGAAATCCTTAATTATGTTCTAATAGCAAATACATAGTCATCATTATTTTTACAGCTTTTCTACTGTATGAGCTCATTTTATGAAATTCTGGATCTGTCTGGAAACGTTATCTCAGTTTTTGCATAAGGAGGAGATTGATTACTGTATTTACTTTGTGAATAATTACTTCAACAATTGCCTAATTATAAACACTTACATAACATGTTATTGTTATGTTCATATTAAATAAAATAATAAATCAATTTAATAATCTATTAACTTGTAGTTAATAGATTAACTAACTTGTAGTTAGCTTTTTAATGTTTCAATGCGATGTGAAGACTGAATGTTGTACTTGCTTTGACAAAGATATATTCAGTAGTAATTTTGGTACAGTAACCATGAACATTTCAAGCTTATAATGCTAAGAGAATATTCTTTTAAGCCTCACCTTATTCCCTAAAGCTCCTTCATGTGACACTACCACTATTCTCCCCTCTCCGTAGTATCCTCCTGCGATCACAGCTTGTCCGTTTGCATTGGCGACGATGGGGAAGGACAGCGACCCGTGAACCAGGGCTTCAGAAAAGGTTCCGCCACTTATGTCAAACTCGGACACTCCTTGTAGCAAAAATTCCAAGTCGTCCATAAAATCCTTACAAAGTCTGCAATAGATTTTTAAGAAATTAAACAATTATATATACAGTATATACAGTGGGGCAAAAAAGTATTTAGTCATCCACCAATTGTGCAAGTTCTCCCACTTAAAATAATGAAAGTGGTCTGTAATTTTCATCATAGGTACACTTCAACTGTGAGAGACAGAATGTGAAAAAAAATTCAGGTAGTATTGTAGGATTTTTAAAGAATTTATTTGTAAATTATGGTGGAAAATAAGTATTTGGTCATTTCAAACAAGGAAGATCTCTGGCTCTCACAGACCTGTAACTTCTTCTTTAAGAAGCTCTTCTGTCCTCCACTCGTTACCTGTATTAATGGCACCTGTTTGAACTCATTATCTGTATAAAAGATAGCCCAAATGTAGCCCAAAACGACATTTCAACCACTGATAATCTCCCTCGATCTGGGGCTCCACGCAAGATCTCATCCTGTGGGGTCAAAATGATCATGAGAGCGGTGATCAAAAATCCCAGAACCACACGGGGGGACCTGGTGAATGACCTGCAGAGAGCTGGGACCAAAGTAACAAAGGTTACCATCAGTGACACACTACGACGACAGGGAATCAAATCCTGCAGTGCTAGACGTGTCCCCCTGCTGAAGCCAGTGCATGTCCAGGCCCGTCTGAAGTTTGCCAGAGAGCACATGGATGATACAGCAGAGGATTGGGAGAATGTCATGTGGTCAGATGAAACCAAAGTAGAACTGTTTGGTATAAACTCAACTCGTTGTGTTTGGAGGAAGAAGAATACTGAGTTGCATCCCAAGAATACCATACCTACTGTGAAGCATGGGGGTGGAAACACAATGCTTTGGGGCTGTTTTTTTGCTAAGGGGACAGGACGACTGATCCGTGTTAAGGAAAGAATGAATGGGGCCATGTATTTTGAGCCAAAACCTCCTTCCATTGAGTTGAATTTCTGTTATTGACCAAAAACTTATTTTCACATATAATTCACATTCTGTCTCTCACAGTTAAAGTGTACCTATGGTGAAAATTACAGACCTCTGTCATTATTTCAAGTGGGAGAACTTGCACAATCGGCGGCTGACTAAAGACTTTTTTGCCCCACTGTATACAGCATATATAGTGCCTTGCGAAAGTATTCGGCCCCCTTTAAATTTTCAACTTTTCTCCACATTTCAGGCTTCAAACCTAAAGATATAAAACTTAATTTTTTTGTCAAGAATCAACAAGTGGGACACAATCGTGAAGTGGAACAAAATGTATTGGATAATTTAAACTTTTTTAACAAATAAAATCTGGGGCGTGCAATATTATTCGGCCCCCTTGCGATAATACTTTATAGCGCCACCTTTTGCTGCAATTACAGCTGCAAGTCGCTTGGGGTATGTCTCTATCAGTTTTGCACATCGAGAGACTGGAATTCTTTCCCATTCTTCCTTGCAAAACAGCTCGAGCTCAGTGAGGTTGGATGGAGAGCGTTTGTGAACAGCAGTCTTCAGCTCTTTCCACAGATTCTCGATTGGATTCAGGTCTGGACTTTGACTTGGCCATTCTAACACCTGGATAAAAATAAATCTCTGTCCCTGTCTCAGGTCTTTTGCAGACTCCAACAGGTTTTCTTCCAGAATGGTCCTGTATTTGGCTCCATCCATCTTCCCATCAATTTTAGCCATCTTCCCTGTCCCTGCTGAAGAAAAGCAGGCCCAAACCATGATGCTGCCACCACCATGTTTGACAGTGGGGATGGTGTGTTCAGGGTGATGAGCTGTGTTGCTTTTACGCCAAACATATCGTTTTGCATTGTGGCCAAAAAGTTCGATTTTGGTTTCATCTGACCAGAGCACCTTCTTCCACATGTTTGGTGTGTCTCCCAGGTGGCTTGTGGCAAACTTTAAACGAGACTTTTTATGGATATCTTTGAGAAATGGCTTTCTTCTTGCCACTCTTCCATAAAGGCCAGATTTGTGCAGTGCACGACTGATTGTTGTCCTACGGACAGACTCTCCCACCTCAGCTGTAGTTATCTGCAGTTCATCCAGAGTGATCATGGGCCTCTTGGCTGCATCTCTGATCAGTCTTCTCCTTGTTTGAGATGAAAGTTGGAGGGACGGCCGGGTCTTGGTAGATTTGCAGTGGTCTGATACTCCTCCCATTTCAATATAATTGCTTGCACATTGCTCCTTGATGTTTAAAGCTTGGGAAATCTTTTTGTATCCAAATCCGGCTTTAAACTTCTCCACAACAGTATCTGGGACCTGCCTGGTGTGTTTCTTTGTCTTCATGGTTCTCTCTGTGCTTTAAACAGAACCCTGAGACTATCAAAGAGCAGGTGCATTTATACGGAGACTTGATTACACACAAGTGCATTCTATTTATCATCATCAGTCATTTAGGACAACATTGGATCATTCAAAGATCCTCACTGAACTTCTGGACTGAGTTTGCTGCACTGAAAGTAAAGGGGTCGAATAATATTGCACGCCCCACTTTTCAGTTTTTTATTTGTTAAAAAAGTTTAAATTATCCAATACATTTCGTTCCACTTCACGATTGTGTCCCACTTGTTGTTGATTCATGACAAAAAATATTTTTTTTATATCTTTATATTTGAAGCCTGAAATGTGGCGAAATGTTGAAAGGTTCAAGGCACCGTACCATACTTGGGCTAGGCATAGATAACATGAAGGAGGTTACATTTACTGAACTTTCGGGATAAGATCTACTTTAGGAGGAGACTGTAAATCATTAAGGCGTCCTATTGTTATGCTTGAATATTGGACAAATACAAATATCATGGTTTAGGGATTATGTGTTGGTAATTAAGGGTGGGGTACCTAACTTTTTATGTTTCCTAATAATACATCATGTTTGTCCCAACAGACTCCTGTAAGTAAGTTTTGTGAACAAATCTGACCAGAAAGAGGCCTATAAGATATTTTTGGCTGAGAGATGATTGGTTGAGTCAGGGTGCTGCCTTCTTTATGACTTTTTGGAAATAAAAAAGTCCTTTGTCCTAAATATAGGACAGAGGCCAAAATGCAATAATGTTATTACCAGTGATAGAACATTTTCAGAACATGCAACTAGCTCAATATAGTTAGTTAAATAGTTAGTATTTTGTGTGTTTGAAGTTAGGTACCCTAGCTTTAATCAGAAAATTAAAGAAAAAATAAATAATTGTATGATGAGAATGTTATTTAATTGAACTTTATTTATTTGGACATTAATTTAAAGAAACATTGTCTCTCTGTCCTTAATCTATTTTAAAATTATCAGAGGTATTGTGTCACTTACTTGATGGTTCTCCAAGAATGTGGGATATGGGCTTGCACGGACACACACTCTGCCTCTATGTGGTGCTCGGTGAAGTGTATCCCAGCCACTCCGGATACTTTATTGCCCATGAACTGGAGCAAAACGTTGTCTTTGGGATGCTGTGACGCCCACCACCAGGCCTGTCCCCCCAAGAGCACACCTCCGCCAGATTTCATGAACGCAACCAAATCCTCCTCACTGCCTTCCACGCTATAGGCATCAGAAACATACACAGAAATGCCCTGGTCGCTGCTAAATCTATCCATAACTTTGACTATATTGGTATCAGAAATATCTTTAGCTACATCTTTCACTGATGCATGTATTCCCACAGACATATTACCAGTCTGATCTCCTCTGAGCCAAAGAAGAACATTTTCCACTAACTTTGGAAATGTATTCAAGTAGGCTTCATGCCCAAACACAACAATACGGCCTGAACCGTAAGTGGAAGCCGCCATGAGGACTTGTCCCTTGCTGTGTGTGGCCAATGGGAAAGCGTGGTCCCCATCTAGATTGAGATGACAGGGGACAGAAGAACCCTTAAGATCCAGCTCCTTTAGGCCTCTCATGATGGAGGCATAGTCCTGTTGCGCGGGTGTGGTTTTAGAGCCAGACATGACTAACTGACATGCAGGAATGGAGTGAGATCTGTAGTTAAACAAAACACATAATAGTTTAGTTAGTCTGTTCAACAAAAAACTGGCAAAAGTATTATTTTCATTGAATTACAATGTTATTTTAAGGTTTAATGTACTGTTGTAGAATTACATACCCCAATGAAGGAGAAAGCTCAAAAGTATTTGTCTTAATTCAGGAGCGTAAGTTTATTGTACACACGTGCGGAGAGCTAACATATACAAAAGGCAGCATACACCAGCTCTGGCGCGCAGAGCTCAGCTTCCTGTTTACATAGACACACATAAAGACAGTCACGCCCACAACAGATGGGAGGGGGCCACCAGTACAGGAGGCGCATAGGGAGCGTAGGCGCCATGCCCGTGGTGAGGCAATCAGACAGTGGCATGGAGGTGCAAACAGACAGACAATGGTCATGCAGGATGTAGAGAGGCAGGCATACAGATGCAAGATGCGAAAGGGACAGGGGTGAGACAGTGATTTGCATCATTGTCTGGCGGTGCGGGAAGGACTGGCTCCTTCCTGCAGGTTAGCTGGATAGAGCAGCAGGGGGGGAGTGAGTTGGCGTCCCCGAGTCACAGGCAGATTGCCATCACACTCCTCTCCCGTGATAATGTAGAAACTCCAGTTTTACAGAGATCACATTCAGGTGGGTGAGTATTGACCTTGACCCCTGAGCAAAACAAGAGTTGTTGATGGGCAGGCTAGGCTGCCGTCACCCAAGCCTCTTGTATTACGAGGGTGTGGTCAAAGCTCTTCACTGTGATACCCTCCCCCTAAACTGTAGGCGAAACAAGTGGAAAAATAAAACCAAGGTAAACAAGAAAGAAAAACGTTAGACAAAGTCATCGTCCGAATCGCTGATATAATCAGGATCGGAGTTCAGTGGGACAGCGGCCAGGTCCGCCTCGGGGTCTTTGTATTGAATGGACACAAAGCGAGTGGATACCATTTTACCAACGGCCCGAAACACCATAGGTAATACACATGAAAATAAAATCATAACAGTCAATAGGGCTAAACCAAGATTAATGAGCACACTCCGCCAGGAGGACAGGAGCCAGTCCTGACCGTGAGGAGTGTCCGTGACATTGTCCGCTTGCATGGCGTCCCGGAGTCTAGTCAGATTGGCTATGCCCTGTTGGATAAGACCTCCGTCCTCATCATTAGCCGGAATATATGTACAGCAGGACGATACTAACATAATAAACACGGTCAGCACGGAAAGTAGTGTCAGTGTGGCCAGCATAACAGTCCAAGGGCCCATGCCGGTCTTAGCCGGGCTACATTCGGTAGTCTTTTCCGCGGGAATACTCACGAACAGTGCCGTCTTGCAGTCAGTGGCACCGCTCCCTATGAGCGTGTGTGGAGCGTTAGTGGTCATGGCGATGTTTGGTCTTGGAGCGGCAAGACTCTAATCGCGTTGAAGCCTTGGCCTCAGCACTCGGTTGGGCAGAGTGCTCGGGGTTTGGGGTGTGGCCTTGGGGTCCGGGGGCTGGGGAGTTGGGCAAAGGGGGGTCGCCTCGGGAACGCTGGGATTCTCTGGGTGTTGTTGTTGGCCTGCTTCACCGACGGTGGCCGCACGCCGGCCGACCTCTTCAGCGTAGGGAGCCGCGGATGGGCCTGGTCCGTCCGTGCCCTCGGTGTCCTCGTCTATGGCCCTCAGTGGCAGCACCGCACGACAGTGGTTGGCGTGGATCCTAGTTGTCCTCTCCGCGACCTTAACGGCAGTATCCGTCACCAGGAGGACGAGGAATGGGCCCAGCCAGCGCTTGGACCGCCAATGTTTTCGTCTCGTTTCCTTCACCAGGACCCAGTCGCCTGGCTTGATCTTGTGCGGAGCCGCCTGCGCAGCCTGTGGCAGGGCGCTCCTGACCTGGGCAGAAATAGAGGGCAAAAGTGCATTAATTTCCTTACAATAGGACAGCATGTCGTCATCACACAAAGAGGTGCTTGGCAGATCTCTGTTCGGGGGTCCCGCGCCCAAGTTGGGTGGTCTGGCAAAAGAGGATTTCGAATGGGCTTAGGTTTGACCCTGACCTGACTCTCATGCGCATGTACATGAGGGCTAGCGGCAGAGCTTTGATCCAAGACAGGTCTGTCTGTTCGCAGATTTAACAAGTTTGTTTTTCAGAGTGTCATTCTCTCGCTCGCACGCGCCTCCGCTCCAGGGGGCGTAACTGCAGTGTTTACGTATATCAATGCCCAGAAATTCACCTACTTCCTCAATGACTTTTGCTACAAAGTGACTGCCATTGTCACTAGAGATTTTCTCTCGGGACACCCCATCGTGGACTTCAGTCCATTTGGGCCAGAGATCCACCAGACAGTATTTCTTACCTTGGCATGGTGTGAGTTCAACAAAGTCCCTTGGGACATGTTGAAATGGGCGCAGGGGCGGAGGATGAGCAGCCTGTTGGATACTTTGGGACTTACCTGGGTTGTGCGCGAGGCATATAGCGCATGTTTGGCAGAATCTCTGTGCAAATGCCGTAAACCCCTTTGTATACCAATTTTGTGTGATTAAATCACACATCCCTCCTTTTGAGGCATGGTCTCGACCATGTGCTAAAATTGCAAACTGTCTGAAGAAATGCCGTGGTAGTTACGGTTTGCTGTCTGGTCCCAGCCACACACACCATGCCGTCGTTGAGCCCCATTCCCCTCCCACAGCAGCGTCTCTGCTGGAGTGGCCAGCGCCTGCATTGCTGACAGAGAGGAGAAAATATCAACGTCTTGAGTGAGGTAGTGTGTGTGTGTGTGTAGAGGTGCGTATGCCGCTGCCTTGTCCGCGCGCCGATTCCCTGCAGAGATGGGATCAGTGGCATTAGTGTGGGCCTGGCATTTGCATACAGCGATCTCTAAGGGCAACATTACAGCTTTCAGCAGACGTTCAACCTGTGTGGAATTAAGAATTGGTTTACCATCAGATTTCATGAAATTGCGGTGTTTCCACAGTGCCCCCCAGTCGTGCACCACAGAGAAACCATAACGCGTATCACAGAATATGTTAACAGTTTTGCCCGCTGCCAGCTCACAAGCCCCGGTGGGCGCGACCAGTTCAGCGGTTTGTGCTGAATGGTGGTGGGGCAAACTACCAGAGTCTATAGTATCAAAATCATAACACACAGCATAGCCGATTCGGTTCTTCCCAGTGTTGTCACATGACGCGGCTCCGTCTGTATAAAAAAAATCAAGTCAGGATTAGTCAGAGGCACCTCTTTCAGGTCTGGCCTGGGAGTGCATCTCTGTTCTATTGTGGCGATACAGCAGTGTGCCTCCCCTTCCTCTGGCGTGGGCAGCAGTGAGGAGGGGTTCAGCTGTGTGCATCTTTTCACCGTAGTTCAAAGAGCACCGTGTTGTATTTCAGCCAACGAGCCGCAGAAAGGTGAGAGGTTTTCTGCTCTAGCAGGATCAGGGAAACAGCATGGGGCACAAGCAAAGTTAGTTCAGTGTATCCCACAAGGTCACGTGATGCTAGGGCCGCTTTCTCAGCGGCAGCCACAGCCCGCAGGCAGCGAGGCAACCCTGCTGCCACGGGATCGAGTTTTGCTGAGAAGTAAGCAGTGGGTCTCAGTGGCCCTCCGTGAGACTGCAAAAGTACCGACACCATGCACCCACACCGCTCATCCACAGTCTGAGTGAATTGGCCGGGTTGGGTCAGGGAGACCTAGTGTGTGTGTGTAGATTTACTGTTCCGTTCATCTCCAGTTGCTTTCTCCCGGATCGTCCTCAATTCATATTGTGGGCTTTTAGTAGAAGTTCATTTCCTCATGATCCATACTACTGTCATCCCTGAAGCAGGGGTATTTTATCTCTCATCTGAAACAGAAATATTAGAACACAAAAATACAAAAAAAAATGCCCACTTTCGCTTGTCAATCTTTTTTCCAATTGGGCAAAACATAACTGCATTGACAGACGGTGTGTGACATCAGGGCAGAGGCTGTAGCCAAATACAGACTTAACAAAATGTATGTTTCTAATTTTATACTCCCCTAAATGTGAGTTTACAAACCAAAGTTGTCCTTCAACCAACGGCAGCTCACTGCGGTTGGACCGAATCACTGTCAGGACAAACAGCAGAGGGAGGGACTCCCAATATCTTCAGCAAGGTATTTCATCTCAGAGTACTTTCCGCAGAGTACTTTTCTCAGAGTACTCATCCCAGAGTACTCTCACTTTTACACCTGTTCAATAAAGCTTGTTATCTTTGAATCTCTAGTACTTACACCGTATGCTGTTGACAAAAAATAATTATTCCATGATCACATTAAAACATTACAGAAACATTTGTTATTCCATGATTCCGTTCAGCACTCCTCGTTCACTCCACAACACACTCACAACACCCCACGTTAGTATATTGGTCCAGTTTGTTAAGGTCAACGTAGTGTATTTGACATGACGCACAAACATATAACATACACAAACATATAACATACACAAACATATAACACACACAAAAGGCCTGTAATTTTAACTTTGTTATATTTTCCATGTCCAATTACAATTGTCTCATGAGCTATTTCTATTG